TCTGGCCTGAGCCCCACAGCAGGCACAGGCAAGGCCAAAGCACAGCATTAAAATGCTCCCTTTTATCAGGGGCAAGGGCAGTGCACAGAAATAAACAACTAAGAAGACAGAGCTGGTCTGGAGATTAGGCCATCAGGCAGAAGAGCTTCGTATCTCTCTGGCCCCAATACTTCAGAGCCAACAAAACTTTCCTTGTGTCCCCTTCATCAGAAACTCCTGTTATTCAACAATTATCTTGAGTTAACTTCTCCCAAAAGCCACTGGTGACTCTGCCTTTCTGCCCCCCTCTCCTTCTAAAGCTCTCTGTTTTAATTTGTTTGCATACTAAAGCTAGTAGCTGATAAGAAAAAGTAAGTTTCTGCGGCTTCTGTCGGCTCCCCGGGCAGGTGACTGCCTTAACCTCCTGCCTGGCAGCTGCAGATAATACTCCAGAAAGTGTTTTCTGCTCTTCCAGGGTAACAGGGAGATGATAGCTTTGCTCAGTCTCCCAGCTCTTATCCCAGGAGTAGGAGCAGATGCTCCTTGCATTGAGGGAAATCATGGGAACAGCGGGGAGGTCCCTGCAGCCCCCTAAAACAGGCTCTTGCAGGGCAGAGTGCCTTGTGCTCTCCTTCGAAGCACACTTGCTGCAGATGTCTGGCTCCCAAACATCTGCATTTATTTCATTGTCGCATCCTTGACTTTAACACCTCTTTCTCCCCCCACCTGTTAAAAAGCAACAGCCTCCTGAAAGCATCGTCCTACTTAATTCTCCAGTGGAAATGGCTGAAGGTGACTTTACTGGAGTGGAGAAGACTTGCTGTTTGGATTGATGTGCTTTTCTTAGATGGCTATTCACTTATGTGTCTGTATTTTGTTGAAACAGAACATCAGTAATCACTGTATGTTCTTAAAGTAAAGGCTATACATAATCAAGCTTTGATGAAACTTTCGTGTACAATTATGGATGGTAAGTGAAATAATTTGTAGACCTAACTTTTTTTTCAGATAGTTAAGGTATGCTGCAGCATTTTGTTGGTTGATTAACATTTGGATAGCAGTGTACGTATTTGGAGCATTATGGAAGTGAAATTTTGTTGTTAATAATAAATCAGCAGCTGTAATGAGTGTTTGCTACATATTTTGGGTGAATTCTGGCCCCACTGAAGTCAGGGAGATTTTTACCGTTAACTTCAATAAAAATAGAGCTGCATCCTCCCATTGTAAAGGACCTTTAACAGCCACTTATAATCTTGTCAAAAACTCTGTTTGAGTGAAACTAATCCCATAGGGCTTTTATTAAGACAGAATGATGGTAGAGGAGGGAAGCTTTTAAATGCTTCTGTTGGAAAGAGCTGCAGTCTGAGCAGTGCTTGTGCTATGACAGAAAAATCCTGGTTTGGAGACCATCTCTAGCTCAGATAACCGTGCTGCAATGAGCACAGAAAGATTCTTCTGGAGTCGCCATATTAAAAGGATAAAGCAAAGGCTGTTTCATGTATGCATGCCAACGCCTCCTTGCTCTTCTTTCAAAAAATGCAAACTGGGAGTAATTTTGTTATAATCAGCTGTGTAAACCAGGGTATGCAAAGGGTACCTAAGCTTTAACACTATGTTAAAAGCCAAAGTGTGCAAATATCACCCCAGGTGATATTTGAAGGAGCAGACGCAGATATCAATTTCTTTGTGACTCCCAGAGCTACGATCTGAATATATAGCTTGTACTGTGCACCTAGGAGCAAATCTGTATGCAGTGACCCATGCTTCCAGACCCCAGAGCGTAAGAGATGGCTGCTGTGCTGGTTTGGGGTTTTTTTCTGTATGCAGTAGAAAATCCAGTCTCTTTGAATCAGGAGTCAATTTAATGACTCTGTTTTTCAGGTCCTCACACAGTAATGAGAAACAGCTACTGTTGGGCACAGAGTGCTCTGCAGAAATTCAGGGTGGTGACATTTATGCTGTGTATCAGAACCCACAGTCAAGTTTTCTGCTGTGTTGCCCATTACAAGATGCTTCACAAGCTTTGGGCAATTCACACTTCCTAAAAGGTAGCTAGGAGAGTGATCACTGAGCATTTTAAATTTACGTAAGAGGCTTAGCTACATACTTTTTAAGAATGGCATGTAACAAATAGGTATAGCCAGTTCATTTGTTCAAGACGGTCAGACTAGGAGTGGCCCTAGGATGGAGGCACAGGAGAAGGAAAGAAGCATGCAGATATCATTGATAATGAGCAAAAGGAACTTCTTCATCAAAAGAATTCACATTAATGAAAGGAAAGGCTGTACCCAAGCAGATCTCCAGCTCCTAAACTCACTTCTCCCTACCCCTGGGCCAGACCCAGAAGATGGCAGCAGGCACCATCCTTTTAAGGGATGTGCTGCCTTTTTCTGGATGAGGGGTTCAGAGGGGGCACAGGAGTAGCCCTGGCACCACCAGCGTCTTTGCAGCTTCTGAGGTAGGTAGTGGCAACCAGGAGCCCTCCAGCCTTACGTACTGCCCTTTCATTTAAGACAGGCAGAAATAATTTCTGGAGGGACTAAATTAAGTTCCACTGAGTCAGTCACAATCTCTGTGCACTTCATCTTCACTTCTCTTCCACATTTACAGTTGAGGAATGCCTACAGCCTTCCTCATTACACTCCAGGGTTATTTCCAGAGATGCAGACAGCAGGATACAATTCTCAGGACAAACAGAAGAAGGTCTTATTTGTAATTCTGCATTGAATATTCTTTCACTTCCTGATTCCACAGCTGCTCTCTTAGTAAGATCCACAGGGATCCCTTCCTTGGAGGTCTGCAGATGACAAGTATGTGTATTAAAATGTTGTCAAGCTGCAGCCTTTGAAACAACATGCTTGAACTGTTGGTAGACAAACAGACAGGGGATGGACTGCAGTAAGACATGTCAGCTTTCTTAGGGCACTTGGTCCAAGGTTTCTGAATGTATCAAGAAAAACAAATTTGCAGTACTTGGTACGGAAAATATAATGATGCACTGGCTGGATGGCAGCCTTGCTTTAAAGTACCCATTAGAGTGATTTTTATGAAAAAGATGCAAGTTCTGGATGGGATGCTACTAGAACCAGCTTGTTAAATTCATCCATGTAGCACTCTCAGTGACTGTGGCTTTGCTGGCTTTGGTGTCCAAGGGCAGTCTCCACTGCAGACAACTCCATATTTTAGTGATTTTAAAATTTCTTTTACAAAAACGAAGTCCAAGAACAGTTTTGCCTAAGGGCAGGTATCTCAGGCCTCGGTCATTTCTTTTCTGTATTGTAGACCTCCTGTATGTTCTTACCAATTGATACATTATCTCCATTCTGAACTGATTTATTTTTTTCTTTTGCTTTCTGTGTTGTATTATCTTTCCATTTGCTATTACTGTTTTCAGTTTGCCTTTTTCCCTCCCTGTTTCCCAGCTCATCCTCATGATACAATCTCTAGCCAACAATACTATTGCATTTCTCTGTGCTTATTTTGCCATTTCCAGCTATTGGTAAAGCTCCAGAATTTCTGTGCGTTGGCAGAGAGTGGAGCTGTTTCCCCCAATTTGTTGTCCATGTAGCTGGAGTGCCCCGGCAAGGCATCATTGAGTTGCATTGAATTGGACTGGCTGAGTGCTGTGCCATCTGTACACGGACAGATTGTTACCCTTTATGATCCCTTTGGATAGAAGTTCTTGTAGCGCTTTGGTGTGCTGATATGAAGCGGTGAGTATATATAGACAGGGACTATGGCTACGTGCGGCTGTTGTGATAGGAAAAGGTACTTTTGCATTCTGGTTGTGGATTTCTTTGCAGATTTTTGCCCCCCAGGCAGCAGTTTGGTAAGGAACCAGGCTGCCCTCCAGCAGAGTCCTGCATCCCCCCAGCACCGGGCAGTCTGTGAGGCTTTGAGTGTCTCTGCTCTGTCGCCTCTGAGGCAGAATAGCAGCATAAAACAAGAAAGCCATAAGGGTATTCATAATGTAAAATGAGGTTTGCATCCTCACTATCCTGAGCAAACCATCTGTATTATGCAAATATCAAAATGGGCTAATCAAAACCAGGTTCTCATTGTGCTATGTGCTGCATGCACCTAGAAAAGTAAGCTTTGGCTCTCAACATATTTGATATATTTGATATCAATATAACTGACTGCACTGCTCAGGAATTTACCTTAGACTTTTCTTTGTGTTCAGCTTGATCTCGGTCATGCAGAACATCCATAGGGTAGGTCTATTTTTTCCTAAGGGTTTTTCCTTCCCTACCCATATGTCCACTATAGCTCATGGTTTTCCATGTAGTGGCAGGGCAGTCCAGGATAGAATTGTTCCCCCAGGCAGTATGCTCGGGAAAATGACCCTGGTGTTTTTTCGTGACAAGGTGTAATTCACAATTGGACTGCCCCAATACCATGTGATTTCCACAAAAACTAACTGTAGTGTCATGTAAAGTCATATACATATATATATATATATGTATATATATGTAATTAGAATCATAGAATTGTTTAGGTTGGAAAAGACCTTTAAGATCACCAAGTCCAACCATTAGCCTAACACTGCCAATTGACTTTATATATGACTTTTTATATAGGTATAAATATTTATTTTATACACATTTATTTATAAATATTTGGGTTTATGTATTTAAATATATATATATATAAAGTCAGTGCTTCTTTATGTCTATAACCGTGCTATACTAGGAGTCAAATTGCTAGTCCAGTTGCAGTATCTACAAAAAGCAGATACGAATAAGGTGCACGGCAGAAGCTCCAGCACAGGAGTTCCTTCACATACTAATAAGAAAGAATGGTCTTACTGAAGCAGCTTACATAAATAAAATCAGTTCACATGCCCCAGTATTATTAGATAAGGCCTACAGCACGCACACACAGTGGTCCACCTGGCTTAAGCAGGAGCGAGGAGCCTTCAGGAGAAGCTTGCTTGTGTCAGCACTCATGTATTGCGGTGAGAGGCCTAAAGGGAAGGCGCCGGAAAAAAAATGATGTGTTTTCTTTTTACTCCCCCACAGATTGACCATCTCTGCTGAATGTCCCATGCAGCTTGAAGATTTCCCCATGGATGCACATGCTTGCCCATTAAAATTTGGAAGCTGTAAGTTGTCTTCTGAAATAAGAACTGGAAAAATCCACTGTTATCTGGCTTTTCACATTCGACCGGGTCTTGTACGGATCATTCAGCCTCCCCCCCACCACACCCTTTTATCATTGCTCATTAGCACCCCTAGTCTACCACCCCTACTGCTACCCTGCTGCTCATTTTCCGTGAGTGTGCTTTAGCTGGCACTGCTTCTTTTCAGCTCATGCTTGCATGCTCCATGATAAACCTCGAGCCGACGGGTGATATGTCTTATATATCCGCCATCAAGCATAACAGCCACTGTTAGGTGGAGTAGTAGATGCAGACAGCTAAGTTGATAACTTGGTTTTGTGTTTGTAGAAAAATGGAGCTTTCACTGGACAATATCAGATTGATGTGTTACTGTGGTACTTACTTGAATCAGAATGCAGTGCAATATCTACATCGCATGTATTAAAAGAGATCTAGAATATTAAAAGAGGAAATATCTTTCCATTTGGCTTTAATAAATCCAGTTCTGTATCTTGTTACATGATGTTGCATACACATGTATTTTTATATATGCACACATTATTCTAAACTGTATGCTGAATGATGATTTTTCCTCAATTCCAAGCCTCTAATCCACCACACGGCTGCCTTGCCAGAAGCTTACTTTAAAAATAACCTCAGGGGATCAGATGGCTATATCTAAATACAAAGCTCTTAATTAAAGTACAGATGAGGCTACTACGGTAGACATTTTTTATTTCAGTAATCAAATCAGAGGTTCCAGGTGCAATCAGTGTCTCTAAAGACTTTTGAAAATTACCAGGCAAGGCATTTTGCTAGTCCCTGAAGCCACCTAACTTCAGCATTTTTCAATGTTTTTTCAGTCGTATCAACTTAGAGTCACTAATCCTAGCAAGATTAAGCCTTGCCTTTATCATCTGTATCTGCCCTGGTTTAATACTGGCTATGCATTGTCTTCTAGTGATCTTGCTAAGAAGTAAAAACACTGTTTACAGTAACGATTACCAAATTACCAAACTTAAGATGATTCCCCTTCCCTCTTCCAATTCAGATAGACCCAGTTTCATCTGAATAGCCACCAGTATTTTACAAGGCCATGGCAGGTTTAAGTGTGTCCATTTACTTCAGCACCATTAATTTACAGCAAAGCCAATATAAACCTTTACACTCAACTTAAAAAATTATATGCAAACCATCCATTTCATTCCAAACTTGAAAATGGGAAAACATCTCACAGAAAAGTGTTATTATTTGTATGTAAGGCTAAACAAAAGCTCCTGGAAAGAATTAAGGTGCAAGAGAAAAATAAGTTGTCTTTCCCAGTATTACATAGTCTTTACTGCATTGATAGATAAAGCTGAAGTCACACGTGTTGTCTAGTGCAGACTATAGGACTGGGATGTTGGGTAGTTTTATGAAATCTTGCAAAAACATGCAATATAAAACTAGAAGATACATATATAAACAAAGAGCGTGATGCAGCAGAGATCTGAAGCTCAACCTTAAGGTTAAATGGATGCTTCAATGCATCTATTAGTAGACTAGGTGCAGTGAGGTACAGGTTCTCACTCTCCGTATAGTAAGACAAAAAAAAAAAAAAAGCAAATGTGCAGGTGTAGGAGATAACATCACCTGATAAGCTACAAACACTTAGAAGGAGTACAGTCTTCAACAGCATTGAAAAAACCCCAACAATCTGTCTGAATGCAATTCTATGTTCAGCTTGTGCCAAATGTGTTACACATTAATCACCTAGTAGTACACAGGTAATTTTAACCCAGGAAAAAACAACACTGAAAAGTCACATTTTAGGCGTGTGAGGGCTGGATACGGTTTTAGTTCGTGCTCCTTGCCATGCTTAGTATACAATCCTAGCGTATATTTTATAAGCTACTACAAGTCACCTTTAAGTTCTTCCACAATGTATAGACTTGGAGCTGTTTGGCCTTTGCCAGTCCACACCGGTAGCCTCTGCAGTAAATAAATATATAGGGACAAGCTATAGACAATCTTTCAGTGTTGGGAATATCTGTATTACTAATTACTAATCTGACAGCTCATTAGTAATTTTTTGTGATTTAATATGCAGATGTTTGCACAAATAGCAACCAGTAAGTCAGAGTTTATTGAATTAGCCCAGATGTATTTTAGGAGAATACAATATTTATTTCCTATTTACAGCAATATGGGTTTGCATTAAGTCATCTTCAGGCTTGCAGCAAGGCAAAGCCTGCAGGGGTATATTATACACAAGCACATGCCCTTTCGGCTTTAGCTTTCCTCCCTGTCTTTCCCCAAAGGGTTTCTTTTTAACGGTCTTCTTTCCAAGAAGGATTTTGAAAAGCCTCAAGGAATGGCATCAAAGTAAATGTTAAACACATTATCAATAGAGCTGGGAGGGTGGAGAAGAGACAAGTGCTATCTGGTCAGAGGGTGGAGTGATCGGGGCAGTGAAACAAAGCAGCCGGTGCACGGGCAGATCGGCAGCAGAAAGGATGCCAAGAAGCGATCAGTGCCGCATCAGAGGCAGGAGCAGGTTATTATTTTTTTGGCTGCATGAGCATTCACCGCACTTTCTATAATTCAGCAAGCAAAAGAGAAAAAGCCCTGACATTTCCTTCAGTATTAAAGAGAAGGAATGTTAATCTTGCTCACAGAAATAAAGGTAAATGTTGAATTCTTATGTCCCGTTTGACTGGTTTCTTGCTATATTAGAAATGTGGGAGATTTTATGGGCCTAGGCAGCATTATGTGTAGCAACAGAATATTTTGTAGAAATAATTAAAAGCGAGGTTGAGTATGGGAGAAGGGATATTAAGTTGCATGCACACACCACCAGCCTAGATACCTGCCAGGCAGTTCAAATGCCAACTACAGAAGTAATACTTCCCGATGCCCTATGGCATGGCATGAAAAGCTATGCTGGCTAGAGGCCACAAGTTCAAGGACGGCTTCTAATGTACTAAACAGAGCAGGTTTTAGTTGTCCTCCTCGTCAGTGCAACGCCCCAGTGCTCTGACATGTCAAGATCAGTTGGGTCTGCTCCAGGAGGCACACGTACACAGGCACTGTCCCTCCAGACTTGCATCCCTGCTAGCGATAAGGCCACCTGTAGAAATCATCCTGCCGAAATCTCATCTAGAGGTACAGGGGAACTGGGGACAGTGCATGACCACAGGCTCTTGGGTCTCTGTGAACAGGCTCCGCTCACTTCGAACCAGGGGTGCTCAGCGGGGATGGCCATGGCAGTCTGTTCATTACCTGGTGGTAGCATGGGAAGGGTGCTGATTTCTTCCGTGGCTGAATTTAAAATAAACTTTCCATTGCAATTCTAGTGCTGACCTGTACTCTGAATAAATTTGCGGGTCAAACAGGATCTGATGAAATTTCCTGATGCCAGTCACAGTTTCGCTAGCAGCGCCTTAGCCTAAGAAATTCCTCCTTACCCCATAGCTATTTCTAGTGTGGGGAGGAGGAGTTAGATAAGACAGCAAGGACATTAAAGCTAGGAAGCTTTAATGTTTCACCTCTTCCACTGGTAGGACTTAAGAGTACATTAAAAGTATCATTTAGTACAGTTTCCAAACACCCATGTGTCACTGGGTGGGTAAGCATCATTATCTCTAGGGCAGCTGAGGCAGAGAAGTTAATTGACTTTCCATAAGGTCACACAGCAAATCAATGTCAGAAAAAGGATTAGACTCAACTTCTTTGGTTGGAGAGACAGATGTCTAATCCACTAGACCATGAAGGCCTCTGCCCAAGCAACTGACTGAACTCCTAAATCTCATTTTACTCATGCGTTAATTATATCAGTTTTACCTAGCTCATGGGGTTGCCCTGAAGATGAATTAGGTAATTGCTATTAGTGAACGTTAACCAGTGCTTTGACAATGTCAAATACTGTAAGGTGGCGTCTATTTATGGCAACTGTCTCTTGAAGGCACAGTGTCTGAGTGCATGTAGTTATCAGATCTTGTATTGTGGAACAGATAAATGCAAGAATCTGCTGCCCACTAGTCACTCGGCTGCAAAAAAACCCTACTATTTTTGGAGTAAGTAGAGAGTCTAATGAATATTCTGAAAATAATGAGATCCCCTAGCTCATGAGCAGGAGAAAAACAGGCCTGGTGTTTATTCCTGCT